TTTTAAGCGAATAACCAAAAGCATATCTGTATCTGAGAGTCAAACTGTATTAACTCCATTTTTCTTTTAAATCAGTATTAAGCTTTTGTCCCGCTAAATAAAACCTGCTCTTTCACATGGAAAATAATATTAGGTACTATATATTTTACTTTTGTACTTATGTATGATTAATATTGTTAATAAATTTTTCGTGTGGACCTTATACAATATTTAGTTTAAGGAAGTTTGTAGGAGGGTTAGATAGAAAAACTAATTGAGACATTGTAAAAGCAAAATAAGTCTGTCTGTCATGTAAAGGTACTAATCATTTAAAATGTCTGAAGAGCATTCATTCAATGTTTTAAATCCTGATAAAAGTATGGATATAAAATGACAGTTTATTGCCTCTATCGTAGAGTATGTTTCAATAATTCTTATAAGTGCAACAAATGGAAATCGGACTGTTAAAAGGCAGAAACTATTTTTTTAAGTTAACAATATTCGAATAAATGTTTGCCAAAAGTTTTTTCTGTCACATTTAAATATTGCAGAAACTTTTGTCACATCGGATGATGATATGTTGGTTGCCTACACGTAGTTAGCTTAAAATTACCAAAATATAAGATTATGTAATTAATTCTGGTAATACTTCATTTTCTATATTGAACAAGACTAGTGGTTCTCAAACTTTTTTGGTGACGGAAACTTTTTGAAAAGCGAAATATTTGACGGAGCCCTAAACACAAGCTATATCGTTCTTCCTCTTGTGACTCTAAACAAACAAGCCTTGAGCCAGGTCCTTCTCTTTTATAGTGATAGTATTGCTTTTTTTATTATTGTTTTCTTCGCAGAGCCTCCACAAAGGCTTTGCGAAGCTACGGGGCTTCGCAATATCACAGTCATTGATACTAAAATATTATTTTAAAAGTAAGAAATTAGGATATGTTGGTTGCCTACACGTAGTTAGCTCAAAAACTACCAAAATATAAGAATTAGGTAATTACAGTCAATTTTAAGCAAATAACCAAAAACATTTGGTATTTACCATTTGAGATTAGTAATTACTACAACATTCAAGCGACTTCGGTTATTAATTTGTTAATATATCCGTGATATATGTTTTTGATTATTGGTTATTGGTAATTGACAGTTACAACTGGAGTGAGTGTTGTGTACCTACCAGTACTATACAAATAAGATATACTAAGCCAGATTTTATGTCTTTTTTAAACATTAAAATCATAATCAAAAATGGTAGATGAGTCTAATTTCTTGTTTGGATCTTATTTTTTCTTGCAGGACAATAAACAATATAGTTAAAATAAAATTCTATATTGCTAATTCATAAACACGGCGAAAAAGATAGACTTGTGACCTCAGTATGCTAACTTTTGCCATAAATTCACGCAATAACCAAGACATTTTGTGCTAAATACCAAGAAAATTTGGTAGTTCCTTTAAAATTGCTTTAACACTAGTAATATTTTAATTTTCTATATTTGACTAGACTAATAACAAAGACAATCAAAACAAGTCAGTAAATGAGCCTAAAATATTATTATTCTAAAAGTGTAAGAAATTAGAATGATATGTTGGTTGTCTACACGTAGGTAATTCAAAACTGCCAAAATATAAGATTGTGTAATTAATACTGATTATAGTTCAATTTTCTATATTTTACTGGTCTAATAACAAAGACATAAAGCAATATGACACAGTATTTGACTCTAAAATATTATTTAAGTGTAAGAATTTAGAATGATATGTTGGTTGCCTACACGTAGGGTCAGTGCACTTTTATTCGGTCTTTTAGCGTAAAAATCAAATAGATATAGAGGAAATCTTTAAATTGTAATTTACTTTTATAAAAAATGTCCATTGGAGTATTTTCAAGGGCTTTAGAAATGAATTTTTGTTGTGTTTTTAACTGTATAGGAATGAAATATTAAAAACTAAATAGAGTGAGTATTTGTTGGTTCTTAGCCACCCCTCACAGTTCTCGGCGAATTTTATATTAGTTCTCAGCCACACAAAAACCAGTTATTAATGCCATTACTAATAGTTAAAAAAAAAATCGGATTTCATACATACTTTTTCCAACTTTCGCAAAATCCAACTCACTTGGTACATTATCAATGACAGACCCAGGAGATTTTACATAGTGGAAGAGCAAATTTTCCTTCAGCATTAAACAAAATTAGAAATGTTTTTTTTATGTCCTTGTTTAATTATAAGGAGATTTCAAAAAACTTTTAGACTTAAAACTTTTCCACTAAATTGACGGGGCACGAACCCTGATTAATCTCCATTGAACACTCTTCTAGGATATTAGATTACAAAACACAAAACATTCTTATTTAAATATTGTTCTAGGTTCTAAAACCATTTTCTTACAGATTATGTCACTGCTGTTTGAACTTTATTTACTTCCTCTGCTCCCTAAGGAAATTCGCTGGATTTCTTTTCATGAAATTCATGTACCATGTTTGTTTTTTGCATTTATTTTAGAAACTATCCAAAAAGCATCTATTTTTTTTATCGGAAACTCACATTCAGCTAGATCAATGAGCCATTTTTTTTAATTCTTTCTCCCCTTTAACCGTTAAATAGTGTTTTTCCCAACACATCCAATATTCTTACTGCAAACCTGCCCTGCAAAGGAATTTTTATAATATTCCTTACATGCTTTGTAAATGACCAAACATTTACAAAAAATGAACTTCACCTATTATTTCTATATTATAAAATATTTATATTTTGTTTCGTATTTTTATAGAAATAATAAAGACGTTATTATTATTATTATTTTATGATACTTCCTCCTTATTTTTGGTTTAGGTCGAATCACTTTGTCTCTTTGATTTTGGTTTTCTTTTTTTTTTGGATTACCTAGCCACTAAAATAATTATATAAAAAATAGAAATAAAAATTTGCCAAAGAAACCGCACCATGTTAAAGGCCGGGAACTAAAACCGCTGTAAATATTAGTTTTCGACCTCCAGTATTTTCTTAGTGGCCGAGAGACGTTAGTTCTTGGCCACTTGGTGTTTTAAGGGCCGAGAACCATATTAGTTTTCGGCCCCACATTTTCCGAGGAGGTAGATTAATAACAAAGACATGATCAAAGCAATATCACAGTAATTTAGCCTAAAATATTATTTTAAAAGCGTAAAATATTAGCGTGATATGTTGGTTGCCTACAAATAATTAACTCAAAATTACCAAAATATAAGATTATGTAATTAATACTGGTAATAATTTAATTTTCTTTATTTGACTAGACTAATAACAAAGAGACAATCAAAGCAGTATCACAGTAATTTATCCTAAAATATTTTAAAAGCGTAAAAAAATAGGACGATATGTTGGTTGCCTACACATAGGAGTAGTTAGCTCAAAATTACCGAAATATAAGATTATGTAATTAATAATGGTAATAATTCAATTTTCTTTATTTGACTAGAGTAATAAAGACATAAAGCAATATCACAGTAGTTGAGTTAAAATATTTTTAAAGTGTGAAAAAATTAGGATGATATGTTGGTTGCCTACACGTAGTCAGCTCAAAACTGCTAAAATATAAGATTATGTATTTTATACTGGTAATAAATCATTTTTTTTTATATTTGAATAGACTAATAACGAAAATATTATCAAAACAATATTTGAACCTAAAATATTAATATTTTAAAACCGTAAAAAAATTAGGATGTAATGTTGGTTGCCTATACGTAGTTAGCTTAAAACTGCCAGAATATTATCAGATTATGAAATTTTGGTAATATATTATACTTCAATCCATATAATATTCGATACCACTGAATTCTCCGAGCAAATTGCTCGGAAATTGAATACGTTAACACTATAATTTAGTGATAAGAATATTCATAAGTATCTGTATAGTATTTCGGATATTTCCTACAACAGTCAGGTTGGCCGAGCGGTCTAAGGCGCCAGATTTAAGCTCTGGTTCCCAAACGGGAGCGTGGGTTCGAACCCCACACCTGACAGATTGTTAATTTTTTTTTTTCTTCAATTATAATTTCATTTTATTAATATTTTTGGCATAGCTAGAATAAACAATTCATTATTTTTGATAATCAAATATTCATGAAAATATAAAAGCTTTAATTTGAAAATGATAAATTTAAATATCCAATATACAAGGTGTTCGATAAGTACGGTACATAACTTCAGGAGCGTATTCTGGAGCTAAAATAAAGGTACTTTTGTCATATACACTATGTCTCAAAAATGCTTCTTACGGAAATACAGGGTGTGAAAGTTTCATAAAAAAAATACAATTTTTTATATATTTCCAAAACCTTGAGATATTTTAATTAAATTTTTGCAGCTTTTGAGAGTTAGCAACGTTGCGTGTTTTACTTTCGTTTAACCAGCGGCGTGCGGACAAAGAAATAGCTAAAAACTTTCACACCCCGTATTTCAGTAATAAAGCATTTTTGAGATATTTATATGACAAAAATACCTCTAGAAGTTATGTACCGTACTTATCGAACACCCTGTATACTGTTTTATTTCTTTTGAATCCTTTAAAACGCTATATTGGGCGTTTGATACTTATTTGATTTCTATATTATGATTTTTTTTGTTTTTTAAAGCAGTGATGACTTAAATCTTATCACACAGGTGTAGGGATGACAAAATCAAAACAAAAACGATATCAAATCATAATATATGGAATAGAAAATATCCATATTTTGAATAATATATCAAAAGTACATTTTTTAATAGATAAAATGCGATTTGCTTATTCAGATAGGTAACAAAACAAACAATACAAAAATTTAGAAAGATATGTTATAAACACTGAAAGTTTTTTACCTAAATCTATACTGAGATATATTTTGTGATTGTGAACCCTTAATATTTTATCAAGAGCTGCCACTGCTACATTGTAATCTGAAATTCCTTATAATTGGTTAAAACTGTTGGAACTAAATAAATAAATGTTTAATCATTAGTTTCCAATGCTGAAATAAATAGGTATTCAGTAATAAATCAGACAATTAGTGGGTATTTGATTTTATTCTAATAATTCAACAAAAAATAGTCCCATACTGGACACAATAAAATTGTAGACAACTATAGAGCTTATATTGACAACCACAGGTTAAATAAATATATTCTAGTGGTGGGTTGGCTGAGCATCCTTATCAACATAGTCGTGTTGTTCTTCAGGGGTATGGGGCCAGAAAGTGGGTTTGTTGATAGGGTCAATAGCATCTTCTGGATAAGCATCACGGAAATCTTCCATTGTCATTTGGTCGTATGGAATTAGACTAGCAATATGGGCCAACTGCTTTTTATAACTAAAAAATATAATAATAACTTCACACAAACCAACTATACAAGCAAATTACTAATAAATAACATCAACCATTAGAACCTACATCAGAATGTTGATAATTCCTTTAATTGTGTATAGAATAAGAAAAAATATGGAGGTGGACATTTTTTAAATATTTGATTCTATTTTTTTTCTGTGATAACCACTGAGTCACCGTAATGTATTAATACTTACTCCTGAATGCGAACATTAGATTCAGCCTTGAATTTTTCAATATCGCTCTTAATTTCTTTCTCTAAAGCATCCAACTGAGGCTTTACTGTATCTGGAGGATAAGGGATGGAAATTGCACTATACTGTTTCTGAAATTCATCAACCATAGCGGGAAGGGGGACCTTCGACTTGTAAAATGACCAATCAATAGCCGGAGCCTTCTCGGGATTTGCTAATACGCTGAAAATGAAAATCTATTTCATTCCTTAATAAAAGATAAAAATAATATAATTCCATATGTAATACCGAAATTGGTACCCTCTTTTCCATTATAATTTAATTAATAGTTAGAAATTTGCTTTTTAAACTAATTAAACCATTAAAATATTACATAAAAACTGAGGTGACCTTACCGCCTGAGGTATCCATCAGACTTGGTTTTAAAAGCCAAGAATTGAGGTCGTTGGTGTTCGGGAACTCTTTCGCTTAGAGCGGCCCAATTTATTGCGCTTTTAGTAATTCTCTTTGCAGCCATTGCAGTAGAAAATTAATAAATTATACCGTACAAAAACCCACTTCTTGGTTATATAATTTTTGCAATATGACACTATTGACAATTGACAAGCAACTGGGAAACTTCAATTTTGACAACTGTTATACCAACTTAAATTGTTATAACCAATGATTTATATAGTTATATAGATAGATCATCCATACGTAAATACTAAACAAATCATTTACAGAACCGGTTTAGAAGGAATCTTAGCTCGGTTGGAATTTTGTAGTCATTGAAATTGCTCAGTCGAACATTTTGTTGAATTGTTTATTTCATTAAGTTTTAATTATATGTTTGTTTTAAGTTGGTTTTTTAAATTATTTAAATAAAAAGCTAGTTTTGTTTTTGAATGTAAATGGTGAATTGCTCTTTAAAGGGTTGTAAGAACAGCTACAAAAATATAAAAACATTTCGTTTTTTACGTAAGTATCAATACAAGCAGGTAAATATGATTTTATCAATTATAATAATAATATGATAATATTATATTCATAGGTCCGAGTTAGAGCTATCTGAGCTTGACAGGTACATTTTAAAAATTAGTTACATAGAATTATAATATAAAAAAATCATTATAAATAGAAAATAAAAACAGGCATAAGTAACAATACAGAGAGACAAACACTTTTAAAATCAACCATGCTTATGACATTTTCCATTGACACTAGCAGTACGCACTGAGCATATTTGTGTCCTTATTTATTGATATGGACAAGAAGGAAGTGAGAATACACTTAAAATGCACTGAACATTCCACGAAAACACAATTAGATCATTATTATTATTACAAACAAATTAGGGCCCTGAAGAATTCTGTAAGTCACAATTAGATCACCTCTTTATCTTCTGTTGGCAAATGAACACAAACCTTAACGTTAAGCCGTTCTTCATACGTTGCTCTGATTCTGCTGAAAGGTATTCTATTTTCCAATCTGTTTTGATCAGAAACCAGATCAGGACACCACGCAGGTCCGATATATTCCATCAACGGTCTAACGTAAATTGTATAGAGTTTAGAAAATGTTTGAAAGTTCACACGCGTGAAGGACTTTTTTAATAGGTAGAGCATTGAGTTTGAACGTTTACATACCGCTGATATGTGCTCTAACCACGTTAATGAAGAGTTTACAATGAGTCTCGGCTTGCTATAGGAGTTCACAGTTGCTAACGGACTACCGTTTAGATAATAGTTCACGCACGGATTATTTTTTCCTATATGTAGGACGACACATTTTTTCGTGTTTAAAGGAAGCAGTCAGGTGTCACACCAGTTTGAAATAGTTTCAAGGTCTTTTTGTAGCTGGGTAGAATCTGTTACAGGATTAGAGTATAGCTTAGTGTCATCGGCGTAACACGAAATATTAGAATTTAAGTCTTTGAAGCATATACCAAAAATAGTAATTGAGGGACACCACTTAGAACTGGATACTCTGACGAGAACATCTGTCCAACTTTTACCTTGCAGATGCGATTTGACAATCTCTTATACAAAGAAGTAAAGAGCCACTAATGCCAGCTTATAAAGCAATCTCTTTTTGGGAACACGGTCAAAGGCTTTAGCGAAATCAAGATATACGACATACACAGGCTCTTTATTGTCCACAGACGTAGGCCAATCGTTTAAACAGGTCTTTAAGATTGTTAGCCTTTGTTTTGGCTCTTGAGAAAATCATATAATTGGTTAAGATAGATTCCATTATTTTACAGACAATTGGGACACTCTTTTTAAAAATAGGTGTCACCGTAGCAATTTTTCACATTGAAGGAAGTGTGTGAGATGTAAAGGAAGATGTCATAATAATGGATAGAGGTAAAACCAAATAAGATGCGCATTCTTTTAAATGCATTGCGGAAAAATGGTTGGCCAGAGCTTCAGCTGTTTCTTGATCATGATTACATAAGATTCCATCCGTTTTTTTTTAAAGCAGGACTTATAGGGAGCATCTTCTGTATTTAAATAGCTTCTTAAGGCTATCGCTACTAGCAATATATTCTTCGTATTCACTTCTTACGTTATCAATAACATTGATTAAATCGTTTACGGAACGTCGATGGTTAACGAAATTATCATGCCTTTTGGTTGTTTTAAATTTTTTCCATATATTTTTCTTATGTTTTATTAAAGTTAAAAGTTGTCCATTGATACCCACGGTTTTAATTTGTTTTGAGGGCATTTTTTTGTGTTGGCCATCACAATTTCAGATATCTTTGTATGAAATAGTGTCCACATATCTTCTACTAATACAATACTTCTAAATAAGTGATTCCAATCAATTACGTTATTAAAGTTTGTGACACTGTAGGTTACGTCCCTATCGTGATTAGGGGTTTCTATGTTAAATTGCATATTAAATATAACAACGCCATGGTCAGATTTCCCAGGACAGATGGAGAAGTTAGAACTTCTTCGTCATTTGTTAATATAAGGTCTAGAGTTGAAGGTTCTTGATGGAAAAAAATTGTTCCTTAGGAAAACCATAACTATTTTTACTAAGTAAATGTTTAGCAATTATTTATTTTTTGTAGGATCAATAAGAATTTTTAAAAGGTATATTTAATAAATTTATTTATAATAGAAATAGTTTTTTTTTAGTTAAAAAAATATGAAATACCTACTAAGGTAATATGGTTTTTGAGCCAATAAGATTTTTACAAATTTATATTTTTTAACAGAAAAATGTCATTACTAAATACCTGTTGTTTTAATTTTTAAATCCGTTTTTTTTACTTGTCAGCCTTCTTAAATATCGTCCTACGATCCAATTTCTACCAAAAACGAATCAACATGCAATTAACATGATACTGATATTTGGTAAACATCTGTTCAACTTTTTTAATTGATAAAACACATGCATCATTCAGAATGCACCTTTCATTTAATAATTAAATAATCCAAATATTCTGTAAAATGAATAGGTACGTTTACATCGACCGAATTATTAATAGAAAAATATTTATTTAATCCAGCGAACTTAGTAATACAACTCGATCTGGCAACACGGTAGCGTTGGTGTACGCGGACATCTGAAATTTCTGTTTGAGTAGGAAATTTAGTTCTCTCTGTGAGCAATTTTAGAAAGTACTAATTGAGATGGCAGCACCTCTCAGAGATAAGACTTTGAAAGAGGAAATTCAAAATAGTGTTATTGTTTAATTGAATTTTTCACTAAATTTATAAAAAACTTATTAATGTTTTGAGGTCAATGTCTTTAAATATAATTATTGAAGGTATATTCTTTAATATTACATTCATTTTTATAGTTTAAATCTAAGTTTTGTTAATAAAATAAATATATTCTTCAATTACGTCATTTCTGCAAGTTCAAAAATTTTCAAAAAATTTATGTAAGTTTCTTATCCAAAACTAATTTATTTTATGAAATAATGATCTCTCTTGATAGTCTAGTTTCTTTGTTTTATACTTGTAAAAAAGTAAATTTTCCGATTTTTCTTGAGAACAAATGATACAAACCGGATCAAATTTTGGTAAAATAATGCTTGAGGTTGGATACACATTCAAACATTTTTTCAAAAATTTTGAACGTGTAGATACTTTTTCCGGGGGTCCATATAAACCTTAAGCGAAAGCGGGTAGGTTCGTTTATATATAATAAAATTTATAAAGTGTGAAACAGAGTTTTGCGATACTTCAAGACCTGCAGTAAGTAGCCAGGAAATTTCTGGAGAGTTGAAATCCCCAACCACCACGAGATTGTCATTAGAAATAGATAGGTTTGAAAGTAGTTCAAAGAGCTGTTGGTCGTTTTCTAGAGAAGTTTTCTTTGTAGGACGATGTAAACATACAAGAGTTGAGAAAGATTTGTATGATAGTTTTAAGCAATTTAAATCTATATTGCGAATGTTGATATCTAAGGCGGTGACAGAGTAAGTTGAAGTGATGGATGACGTTAAGTAGATGCAAACCCCTCCACCAACATTTTTTGCGCGGTCGCTTCTGTAAATTGTAAATCCAGGAATGTTATTAAGTGAATTGGGAATAGACAATTTGAGTTTGAGAAATTAGTTCATACTGTCAGGTCATTGCATAGCTTTACCCCTTCAGATATTATAGTATATAGTTCTTTTTCCTGCTGTTTTTTCATTGTAAACAGTATATAAAAGGTATGTGGCTCTGTTTTTGCGTTTCTTTCAAAAAAAAAATTTCTTCAAGATATTCTGAGACACGGCCGGGCGCTACCCTTAATGAATCACCCTGTACAGTGGTTTACAGTTAGTTACATGCATCTGTTACTAAAATTAATTATTCAAGAGTGTACAATTGTTTATATCTATGTTGAAAATTGTTTAGATATCCTAAAATGTTTTGTATATATGGAAACTAGATTTTACGACTCAAATATATTTTCTTTTTCAAAATACGTAACGCAAGCGCCTGTCTTGAAGTAAACATTCAAGTAATTATTTTTTCTTAATTCAATTCATATTTTGATGAAATATGTTTTAAATTAATTTGGGCGATTTGGGCCAGTCCGATTCTGCCTGGTAAGCACTCGGCAAGGTAAATGCTTTTCGTCCTTTCTATATATATATGGATGACCAATCTATATACACTAATATGTTATTGGTAATAATTAACTAGTAAAGATAGGCAACACATATTACAAGATAATTATTCCAAATGCGTTGGCGTCATTTAATTTTCATTACTTATTTAATTTTAAATGTAGTTTTCTTTAATAATAAAAAGAAAAAAGTATTATAATAAAATAGATCCTTATAAATATATTTCAATTTTAGTATTTTTTATGCAATTGTTATCTTGAAATTTTCGTCTTTTCGATAGTTATTTTCACGTTTATGGTTATTTAGACATAACAGATTCCTTATTATCCATCTCTCTTATTACTAGATGGTTTCTACTCTTGCTCACTGCATACAGTTACAATTCTTCAGCAGTTCCGAATATCGGAATAGTGAAGGTTGCTGTTGCTAGCGTTGAAAAGTTGGTTGCTCGCTTGGTTTGGTTATTGGTTTACTGATTTTTAGACATTCGATGCAAAATGGCTGTCGTTGAGGTCGACTCGTAGT